AGCAGACAAGCGAGGAACAGCATCAGCGCGATCACACACACACACACAGACAGACACACAGACACACAGACACACACGGACACACACACGCGCTCAAACAACGCACTGCGTCGTCGCAACCATGAGCGCGCTGATTGACGCTTGCGAGCAAGGGGACCTGGACCAGGTCAAGCGCCTGCTGTTGGAAGGTGATCCGGCCAAAGGTGGAGCAAAGCCGAACGTCAACGAGGAGCTGGATGAAGAATTCGTGAGTCTGTCAACACCTGTGCTTGCACTTGGCGTGCACTTGTTTTGCGATTGGGAGAAAAGTGAGCTTGGCGTAACACAGACTCATGGGTTGTCGCTGACCATTGACATGGGGTTCTGCAGGGCGCATCTGGGCTGCACTGGGCAAGTGCTTTCGGACATGAGGCAGTTGTGCGGTATCTTGTTGAGCAGGGAGCAGACGTCAATAGGGCAGCGAATGAGGTGTCTTTTCCTGTTTCGTGGCAAGATTGTGTTGTTATTGTTGTGTGTGCACACATGCTGTTGGCTGTGCTGCGTGTGTTGCTGTTGTTGTTGTGGTGGTGTTTGTTTGACATGTTGCGTGCATGTGTGTGCGTGGCATTGCTGCACATATAAGCTGGCATGATTACTGCAGCTGAATGTGCATGTGTGTTGTGTGTTGTTCTCACCCTTGTCACTGTGATGTGCTTGTATGTGCATGTGGTATTGTGTTGATTTGTGTGGATTGAATGGAATGGCGCATCAGGGCGCAACACCGCTGTACATCGCGTGTCAGAATGGCCACGAGGCTGTTGTGCGGTATCTTGCTGAGCAGGGAGCAGACGTGCACAAGGCAGACAAAGATGTACGTTTATTTCTGTTTTGTTTTAAGATTGTGTTGCTATTGTTGTGTGTGCACGCATGCCGTTGACTGTGCTGCGTTTGTAGTTTTGTTGTTGTTTGTGTGGTGGTGGTGGTGGTGTTTGTTTGAAGTGAATGTGTGTGTATGTTTGTGTTGTGTGTTATTGCACATGAGCAGGCATGATTACTGCAGCTGAATGTGCATGTGTGCATGTGTGTTTTGTGTTGTTCTCACGCTCACCACTGTGTTGTGCGGTGTTGTGGTGTGTTGTTGATTTGTGCGGATTGAATGGGATGGTGCATCAGGGCGCAACACCGCTGTACATTGCGAGCTTCAATGGCCACGAGGCTGTTGTGCGGTATCTTGTTGAGCAGCGAGCAGACGTGCACCAGGCGATGAACGATGTACGTATTTTTCGTTGTGTTTTAAGGTTGTGTTGTTACTGCTGTGTGTGCACGCGTGCTGTTGGCTGCGCAGCGTGCGTTGCTGTTGTTGTTTGTGGTGGTCGTGTTGATGTTTGACATGTTGCATGTATGTGTGTGCGTGGCATTATTGCACATGAGCAGGCATGATTACTGCAGCTGAATGTGCATGTGTGTTGTGTGTTGTGTGTTGTTCTCACGCTCACCACTGTGTTGTGTGGTTATGTGGTGTTGTGTTGATTTGTACGGATTGAATGGGATGGTGCATCAGGGCCGAACACCGCTGTGGACAGCGAGCTTCAATGGTCACGAGGCTGTTGTGCGGTATCTTGTTGAGCAGCGAGCAGACGTGCACCAGGCGATGAACGATGTACGGTTTTTTCTGTTTTGTTTTAAGGTTGTGTTGTTACTGCTCTGTGTGCACGAATGCTGTTGGCTGTACTGCGTGTGAGAGTGTTGTTGTTTGTGGTGGTGGTGGTGTTTGTTTGAGGTGGTGTGTGTGTATGTTTGTGTTGTGTGTTGTTGCACACGAGCAGGTATAATTACTGCAGCTGAATGTGCATGTGTGTGTTTTCTGTTGTGTGTTGTTCTCACCCTTGTCACTTTGTTGTGCACGTGTCCGTGTGGTTCATGTTGTGTTGTGTTGTGTTGATTTGTACGGATTGAATGGGATGGTGCATCAGGGCACAACACCGCTGTGGACAGCGAGCTTCAATGGTCACGAGGCTGTTGTGCGGTATCTTGTTGAGCAGCGAGCAGACGTGCACCAGGCGAACAACAATGTACGGTTTTTTCTGTTTTGTTTTAAGGTTGTGTTGTTACTGCTCTGTGTGCACGAATGCTGTTGGCTGTACTGCGTGTGAGAGTGTTGTTGTTTGTGGTGGTGGTGGTGTTTGTTTGAGGTGGTGTGTGTGTATGTTTGTGTTGTGTGTTGTTGCACACGAGCAGGTATAATTACTGCAGCTGAATGTGCATGTGTGTGTTTTGTGTTGTGTGTTGTTCTCACCCTTGTCACTTTGTTGTGCACGTGTACGTGTGGTTCATGTTGTGTTGTGTTGTGTTGATTTGTACGGATTGAATGGGATGGTTCATCAGGGCACAACACCGCTGTACATCGCGTGTCAGAATGGCCACGAGGCTGTTGTGCGGTATCTTGCTGAGCAGGGAGCAGACGTGTACAAGGCAGACAAAGATGTACGTATCTCACAGCCTTCATCATTCACGTCTCTGGTCTACCTTCGCGTCCTCTCACACACCCTCCCCCTTAACCTACTCAACAGGGATGGACACCGCTTCACATTGCATGTCACCAAAACCGCCTTCGCGTCGTTCGTACTCTCCTCCAACTGGGCGCCAACCCCACTGTCAAGACTGGATGGGTGAGTTGGTGCATGTCACCGTACCTTCTGTCTGGTCAAGCAATGCTGAGACTTTCCCACTCATCATCCCTCTCCTTCTTTAGCTTTTTGGCAAAACTGCGTTGGACTTTGCGCATCAGCGTGGCAACAGCGACATTGTAACGCTTCTCTCGCATCCTCAGGTCAGCGAGTCATGCGTGTGTGATAGGTTGCTTGGGCGTGCACGTGCGTGTGCATGCACGCGTGTGAATGTATGTGTGTGCGTGGGCGCGTGTGCAGTGTCACAACTGACCACAAGGTTTTGAATGCATCGCGTCATGTATACCAACTCCCCTGTTCTCTACTCCTTTCAGCCCCGCCACTATGCGGAGATGACGTCCATCATGAGCGATATCGCTGAGCGCTCCGGCACGCGGATGGCGGCACGCGCGAAACTGATGTTTGTTGGTGAGGGGCGGGCTGGCAAGACAACCACGCTTCGCTCGTTGATGGGGAAGAGGTTCCAGCGGACGCAAGACTCGACCCGAGGCGCTACAGCCCACGACACTGCAGTCATTGTCAACACCAAGGATGTCTTCAGCTGGAAGGTGCGCATTGTGTGTGTGTGTGCGCGCGCGTGCGTGACCGAGAGTGAATGCACCCCTGCACCGCGCACCTCCGCATTCCACCAGCACACACACACACACACAAATACACACATACACACATACTTACACATACACACACACCTTTTCATAGGCCACGGATGGCAGGCTGTCGGAGTATCTGCGTACGCTGCGAGACACGGCGCTGGCGAGAAAGACCAAGTTGGCCAAGAAAATGAGACAGCGTGCAGACAGGGCAGCGGCTGAGCACCAGCAGCGCGTGAGACAGCAACAACGAGAACAGCAAGAAGCAACGTGCCAACACACACCGCGCGGTGAGGAACAAGATCAGGGGAGTGCCACCGACACAGCGAAGCAGTCGCCAGTGCAGCCCACGCCGTCGCAGTGCACGCAGCGTACCACTTCCGCCAGCCCATCTTCTTCACCATCGACGACCAGCACCGCGAAGAAACCGTCCACTGTCCCGAAGCCACGACCGAGCCCATCACCGCACTTTGCTGCGTACTCGTCGTCGCCAGGAGATGTTGAAAAGGCCATCAGGGAGATGGATTTGGACGGCGCATTGGACGAAGCGCAGGTCACGTTCAAGGTGTTTGACCTGGGCGGCCAGTCCACCTTCTACATCTTCCACCCTTTCTTCCTCACAGAGTGAGTGTGGTGTGTGTGTGTGTGTGTGTGTGTGTGTGCGTGTGCATGTGTGTGTGTGTGTGCGTGCGTGTGTGCGTGCGTGCGTGTGTGCGTGTGTGTGTGTGTGTGCTGGCTGCGTGCGGCCCACCCCATACCCTTTCAACTCTCCACCACCCCTCCTCCATTCACCTAACCCTAACCCCCCCCCACCCCACAGGTACGCGGTGTACCTGCTGGTGTTCTCGATGGAGGACCTGCTGCACCAAGATGAGAGCAAGCGAGCTGAGACGTGGGAGTTTATGGAGCATTGGCTCTCCTCCCTCCACCTCCATGCAAAAGGCGCACCCGTCCTCATCGTCGGCACGCACGCCGACAAAGTGCGCAGCAGAACGCTTCACACACAGCTCTCCCGTGACATCCACAGTCATCTGCGTTACAACCCGGCCTTTCCTGGCGTCATCCACAACGACAAGCGCAGCCTGTGGTTCTGGCCCGTTGACAACACCAAGTCCATCCGTGATCCCATGATCCAGGACCTGCGCCAGACCATCTCCTCCACAGCCCTGGCGCAGGAGTACGTGAGCCAGGAGGTGGCTGTGCCATACCTCCACCTCTACGACAAGCTCAACGCCATCGCCCGCGACGAGAAACGACCTCTGCTCACCTTTGACGAGGTGGTGCAGATTGCGCGCACCTGTGGGCTGCGCACGCGTGACGAGACGAGAGCCTGCCTGCAGTTCCTGCACCTGTACTCGATGGTGCTGTACTACGACCACGTGCCAGGCATGGAGGATTTCGTGATCCTGAGTCCGCAGTGGGCGGTGGACACGATGACGCGCGTCATCCGCAACTTTGACCTGCACCGCGATGTGCGTGATGGCGAGGCGAGGGCACTCGGCCCTGGCGTGTGGGACGATCTCGTTGATCGCGGTATCTTGCACCGCCGTCTGCTGGGTGTGCTGTGGAAGGATGTGCGGGATGACATGGTTGAGCCCTTCCTCCAACTCATGATGGAGTACGGGTTGTGTGCGGAATATTCACCCGCGACGATGCAGGCCGGACAGCAACAGCAAGAACAGCAGCAGCAACAGCAGCAGTATTTGGTGCCGTCCAACCTGCCCATGACCCTGAAGGGAAAAGAGACATCATCGGCGATACTGAGTACCACTGCAGCCAAAGATGCCCACACCTACGACGCGTATGAGGAGAAAACAGCCTACATCACGTTCAGCCTGACTGACTTCAAGAAGACCGCGAGCGTGGGAGTTGAGGATGCACAGCAAGCATCGTTCCTGCCAGAAGGACTGTTCACAGTTGTGTTGGCACGTGTGCTGGAAGGTGTACAGTCAACAGCAGCACAGGAACCGAAGCTGAGCCGCACACACATCATCCTCTTCATCGACACGACTACAGTGGAGCTGCAGCTTGTGCCCGCAGTTGGCGGCATCAAGATCAAGATCACAAGCGAGCGACCTCGCACGCTGCTGCACGTGCTGTACGACATCATCACCACCGCCGCCTCACAGCGTTATCCTGACCTCAAGGCCAACCTGTTGTTGCCATACAACAAGAAGAAATCGCTGTTCTTTGAGGACGTGCTGCACCACCACAAGAGCAAGCAGGACATGTGGGTGGGTGATGACTTGGTGAGGGTGAGTGATCTGAGCACCAAGTATCGCCCCTTGCTGCCAGTCCTCGGGCTGCAGGACAAGTACGACGCCTTCATCAGCTACAGGTGAGAGGGAGTGTGTGTGTATGTGCGTGTGTGTGTGATGCGAACTGGTTCCATTGCCTCACTCACCCCTCTTGCCCTTCTCACCCCGACATTCACCACCACCACCACCCCACATCACAACGGCACAGGCAACGCGGCAACCGGGGCCTGGTGTTGACCCTTCACCCAAAGTTGGAGCACCATGGCTTGGTGGTCTTTGTGGACGCCAACAACCTCGAGGCAGGCGTCAACTTCAAGCACGCGTGCATGACAGCTCTTCAGCACAGCGTGATCGCCTGTCCCGTCGTGTCTGTCGCCGCCATTTATCAGATGCGCTCGCTCGGCCACACTGACGTCTGTGACAACGTGCTGCTGGAGTGGATGGCGATGCTGGAGCTACAACAGGTAGCTCGCCAGCACCAGGACAAGATCCGCCTCCGCCGCATTGTTCCGCTCTTCGTTGGCAGCGCCTGGCACGACAGCAGCCACGCAATGAGTGTGGCGTCGGCGAGCGAGTATGACTCGCCCGAGTACATGAAGCGGCTGGCGATGAAGTTGCCGGATGTGGTGAGCACGGAGACGGCGGCAGCGCTCGACGAGTACTTCACACAAGTGCTGCACCTGCGGCCTCCACAGCAGCACAAGAGCGTGCGTGAAGTGGTGCTGTCTCTGTTTGACATGGACGGCGTCATGTCACTCCAGCACCACGTTGACCGCGAAGCCGATGCGGCGAGGATGGCGAAGCACGTGCGCATGGCTGTGGCCGCTGCTAAACGTGATATCGTCTCATTTGAGGAGTGGCTTTCGTCGCTGCACCTCTCTGCCGATGCGCGTGGCGCGCTCGCGGCCTTGGGGGTGACCAGCTTTGAGGTGTTGCGCGCGATGAAGGAGAGGGGGCGCCTGACGGAAGAAGCGCTGACTGGCGTGCCCGTTGGTGCCGCTGCTCGCCTGATCCATGCCTTTGAAACCGGTGCCCGGGCAGCACCTGCACACGGTGATGCTGCCGCTGATGACGATGACGAGGAATCATTTGCTTGAATGACACGAGGAGTTGTTTTGTGTTTTGTTCTATTGTTGAGTTCTTTTGGGCATACACATGCGCAAGCCACGTCACACGGCAGGATCATCGTCACAAAGAGACTTCCTTAGAGAGCAAACGACACACACACACACACACACACACAGACACACTCACTCACACACACACACACACTCACTCACACACACACACACACACACACACACACACACACAGACACACACAGACACACACAAACACACACACAAAACTTTGGGTGTTTCTTCTTTTTATAGGTCCGTGTCATATTTGTGGGCCAGTGTAACACATGCCACGACCAAACCAAACCACCACACCACGCAGCATAACCATTCATCCTCCCCTCCACACACTCACACCATCACGCACACACCATCCCACGACCATGTCTGAGGCGAAGCTTGAGCAAGAGGTGCAGCGGCTGGCTGTGACGTCGACCAAGAAGGCGTACGGCATCGACGGTCGCATGTACGCCTCCGAGGTGCAAGAGAAGTGGGAGTCGTTCCTTGGGCAGACCATCACCGTCGGCGGCTGGGTCAAGAAAGGTGCGTTGTAGGTGTGTGATTGCGCCTGCGTCTGTGTTGCCTGTTCTGGCCGTTCATTCCACACCCCTTTCGACCTCACGCTCCAACGTAACCACTCTTCCCCTCACGCTCCCACACAACCACTTTCATCCATCCTTTCCCTTGCTGCTGGTTATCCTTTTCTCAAGGTCGCGCTGCTGAGAAGGGCACGCTGTTCTTCCTTGAAGTGAACGATGGCTCGTGCCCTGGAAACCTGCAGTGCAAGCGCAAGGTTGACGAGAGCGACGAGGAGGCCATCAAGCTGTACAAGCCCCTCACCAAGACCGGCGCTTCCGTCCTGCTTCGCGGCAAGGTAGCGTGCTTGGCGTCGGAAGCCTTGCAGCCTTGTTGGATGGGCAGTGTTCATACGCCTCGCGCCCACACGCTTGAACTACATTCCCCTTGTCTGTCTCACGGCGCTGTGCTTTTCTTTGTGCTCTTGTGCAGATTGTAAAGGCTCCAGAGGGCAAGGAGCAGAAGTTTGAGCTTGACATTGAGGAGGTTGTGCACTCTGGCCTGATTGAGGGCAGCTACCCGATTGCCAAGGCGCGCATCCCGCTGGAGGTTCTCCGCAAGCACTGCCACCTCCGCGCGCGCACCAACATCATTTCCGCTGTGGCTCGCGTGCGCAACGCGCTGGCACAGGCCACGCACCGCTTCTTCAGCGACAACGGGTTCATGTACCTGCACACGCCGCTGATCACGGCGAGCGACTGCGAGGGAGCTGGCGAGATGTTCCAGGTCACCACCCTCTTCTCCAAGGCCGAGAAGGTCCTCGAGACGCCGCTCCCATCCGACGAGGAGGTCAAGGCAGCAGGTGTGTGCACGTGTGTATGCGAGTCTGTGTGTACACGTGTATGTAAGTGTGTGTTTATGTGTGTCTGCGACTTTGTGTGTGTGTGTGTGTATGTGTGTGTGTGTGTGTGTTCTCTACTGCACTGTTGTGCAATACACATGACACCACCCTCTTCCCTGCAACTCACCATCACCCCCCAACCGCCTGGCTTGCCAGAGGATGCCGTGGCCGAGCAAGAGGCGGCCGTGCAGGAGATGCGCGATGCAAAGCGCAACAAGAAGACCATCAAGGTACCACATGCGCAATTCTCCACCGCTACTGGCACGAACAACTGCAACGCCGTTAAACATGACTCGCTGTGCTGCTCCCTGTGTCGCTTACTACGCCCTCATCCCGCCTGTCTCCACCTACCACCTACCGCCACGTATCTCAACCCACCAACACGTATCTCCACCTCTCATCACCACCACTTTCCATGCCCAGGCGGCGGATGCAGTGCTGCAGGAGAAGCGGGCGGCGCTCGCGGCCATCAAGGAGCGCGTCCTCGCACGCGACGGCATCCCGCGCACAGAGGACAAGCAGTTTGACTTTACAAAGGTGCGGCAGCACTGCTTGACTGCCGCTTTGTTTGCGTTTTCGAGCTCAGGTTTGCGGTGTCTGTGGCGCATGCCTTCTTCTCCATCCTGTGCACACTCGCGTGCTTCCCTCACAGCTGCTCATCACTGTACACCACCACCACCACAACAACAACAACAACAGGACTTTTTCAAGCGGGCTGCGTACCTGACTGTCTCTGGGCAGCTGCAGGGCGAGTCGTATGCGTGTTCGATGGGCAACATCTACACGTTTGGGCCCACCTTCCGCGCAGAGAACTCCAACACCACCAGGTTCGCACTGCCAGAATGAGATTGCTTGCGCTGGAAGAACTTCCATTCTAACACCACCACCATCGCTATCACCACCATATGTTGCTGATGTTTCCTGCCTGTCCTGTGTTCTGTGCCTTCAGGCATCTTGCTGAGTTTTGGATGATTGAGCCCGAGATTGCTTTCTGCGACCTCACAGGCTGCATGGACGTACGTGTTGATGTGTTGCTTCTTATCGCTTGTTTATTGTTGTGCTCCAACTTGCACATGCTTCCATGTTTCCTTGTTTCCACAAACACATTCACGCTCACGCCTGCGTGCCTCTGTCCCCCGTTTTGCCGTCCATCCCCACACCACCACCTTCCCTGCGCCCCTCCCCCCTCCCCTCACTCCTGTCACCAGTGTGCGGAGGACTATGTGCGATACTGTTGCCAGTATGTGCTGGACAACTGCCGTGCGGACCTCGACTTTTTCGCCAAGTTCGTCGACAAGACCGTCATTGATCGCGTCACGGAGCTCACCGCCAAGCAGTTTGCTCGCGTCGAGTACAAGGGTCAGTCAGTGGTGTGTCGGTAGTGAAGAGGTGATGCAAGCGCGACCTTGGGTAGTGCAGAGGATGTGACAACTCCTGTGACACGTTTCTTACACGCATGTGTTTGCACATATCCATGCAAACGTCTTGTCTCCTCTCAACTGTGCAGATGCGGTGAAGCAGCTGCTTGAGCTGCAGGCTGCATTTGAGTCCAAGACTGACGAGGAGAAGGCCGGCAAGAAATCGCTCTTTGAGATCCCAGTCGGTACGGCAGCAGCAGCTGTGTGTGTGCATGTGTGTGTGTGTGTGTGTGTGTGTGTGTGTCTGTGTGTGTGCATGTGTGTGTGCGTGTGTAAGTATCACCCTGTCAACTCCCTCCCTCCCTCCCCACCCTGCCTCACCGTCACACCACGGCCTCTGCAGGTGAGCGAATTGACCTTGCGACGGAGCACGAGCGGTACCTGACCGAGCACATCTACAAGGGCCCCGTCATCCTCTACAACTACCCGAAGGAGATCAAGGTCAGCGCAAGCTCACGCCTCGTCCTGCTGTTGGTGGTGGTGACAACTGGTTGTTCGTTGTCGTCATGTGCATTCTCTCACGTGCCTTTTGCTTCGCCGCGTGTGTTCTTCTGCAGGCGTTTTACATGCGCGAGACGCACGACGAGTTTGATTCCGTCGCAGCAATGGACATTCTCGTGCCCAAGGTACACACGCCAGCTCCACCCGAGGACAGAGACAGAAGGGGTTGCTGCTGTGGTTGTGGTTGTTGGTGCTTCCTTGTCATTTCAGATAGTTGACACACACACACACACACACACACACACACACACACACACACACACACACACACACACACGTGAATAGGCAATATATGTAATGTTATCTATGTGGTCGCAACATCTACGTCGTTGGTCTTCTCACTTGGCGGGGCAGCCACGGAGAGCCGAGCCGGCGATTTCCCGCTAGTCCGCTGTAACCGGGCATTCGGATTCGCCGTATAGATCTACCCTTTAATTCCCCCCGTGTCCAAGGACTACACACACACACACACACACACACACACACACACACACACACACAACTCACTCACACACACACACACATACTCACACACATACTCACGCACATACACACACATACACACACACATACTCCATCGCGTGCATCAGATTGGAGAGCTCGTTGGCGGGAGTCAGCGCGAGGAGCGGCTTGACGTGCTGCGCCGCCGTCTGCAGGAGGCCGGACTCGACGAGAGCGACTACGAGTGGTACCTCGACCTCCGCCGCTTCGGCACCGTGCCGCACTCCGGTTTCGGCCTCGGCTTTGAGCGCCTCGTACGTCGAGTGTGATCCGTGGTCACGCGTGGTGATTGGTTGATGGTGGTGGTGGAGGTGGTGGTGGTGGAGGTGTGGGTTGTGGGTTGTGGTGTGGGTTGTTGGGAAATTGCGTTTGGCGGCTTGCTTACGGTGGTGCTCTTGCATGCAAGCAACTTTGTTCAAACTTACACAACTCACACCCTCCCTCCCCCTTTGTTGTGTCCCACCAACGCCCCAGATCATGCTTGTGACGGGCATGGAGAACATTCGCGATGTCATTCCGTACCCGCGCCACCCAGAGCACATCCCGTGAGCTGCTGCCGCCATCCAGAGGAACAGGCAGAGCAGCATGCACTGCACAGCTTTGGTTGCTTGCTCAAATGTCGCTCTTCTTGCATGTGTGTGTGTGTGTGTGTACGCGTGTGGGTTTTGTTTGGTTCCGCCCTCTGCTTTCTTTGTCTGTTTTCGTTTTGCAATGTAGTGAGTGATTGATTTGCATAGTGTTCGCTCGTTCTCGTGTTCATTGGAATAGTTTTGTCCCTTGTCTCTCACGCGTTGCATGACTGCCAAGTACACAAAGTCATACAAACAAACAAAGCCCAGAGCACACACACACACACATTCACACATTCACACAGACACAGACACACACACATTCACACACATCGACTCAGCGTGTAACAAGCGTACGCAAACATCGAGGCCAACAACACGTGTGCCTGCGTGCGTGTGTGTCACGAGGATGTTTTCGCCTTTTTGTCAGTGGTGGCAGCAGAGGTGCGCTTTCGTTTCCTGTCAGCACACGATGTTCAGGAGACGACAAGTGATTGTGAGTGATCGCATGAGTCAGTGAGGGGAGGGGAATGGCAAGATAGTGTCAATGCAAGCAATGGACATGGCACAGGGTTGGTGTCATCATGCGTGCACGTACGCTTTCGACTGCGGCTTCTTCTGAACAGCGGCAGGCGCACGAGGCAAGCAGATCCACATGCCGTGAGTAAAACGGTGAAGTGAAACAAACATGCGATGAAATCAACAAGAAGAGAAGCCATGAAGAAGAGCCGTACACAAACAGACACACACACACACACGATACACACACACAATACACACAATACAAGCACACGCACACACGATACACACAACAAACACACACACACACACACAATACACACAACATACACGATACGTACCTTGCTTGCTGGGGTGGTGGCGGCAAAGTCGTCGTCACTCGAATCGTGCGATTCCGGCGCCGCCTCCACTTTACTCAACTTCTCAAGCAGATAGCTGATGCGACGCGTCGTGTTGACGCAAGGCACAAGGGGAAGTAGGAAGTAGGAAGTTAGGGTTGGCGTTCTCAATGGTGTCAACACGCATCTACAGGCATGCATACATGCACGCGCACACATGCGCACACGAACTAGCTCTTGTACACGCGCACACATGCGCACACGAACTAGCTGTCCCTCTCGTGTCAACTCACTCCCTCTCCTGATAAAGGCGGCCGATGTAGGCCTGTGCCAACTGCAGATCTTCAAGCAGCGCCTCTTGTGCCTACAGGACGCATTCACACGCACACAGACGCGAAATAAGAAGCATGAGGATGAGAGACACAGAATAGGTACACATACAAACATACAAACAAACGAACAAACAAACAAACAAACAAACAAACAAACAAACAAACACACACACAAACAAACAAACAAGCAAACACACACAGCACACACACAGCACACACGCACACACAGCACACACACAGCACACACGCACACACAGCACACAAACATACACGCAGACACGCAACACATCTCCCCCATCATGCCGTGCAGCCTTACGTAGACGAGTGTACGCATCTTCTCCTTGAGCACACGGTATCTGCCCTTCCACCCTTCGTCCTTGTTTCTCCTCCGCGCTGCGTGCGGAGGCAGGCAGTGGGCCGTGAGCCGATATCAGTCAAAACCATCGGGAACATGATAACACGAAGCGCAAGGCGTGGACTTCACATACGCATAGAGTTCCGCACGCATGCATGCTCACCTGTTGTGCGTGATACTGTTGCTTTCTTGGCGCCAGCCTGAAATGCGTTTACAAGTGAAAGTGAGCTGCACAGTGCAGCACAACCAAACACATACCACACACACACACACACACACACACACACACACACACACACACACACACACACACACACACACACACACACACACACACACACACACACACACGCACACATACCACACACGCACACACACACACACAGAGCACAGCACAACTCACTGTGGATGACGCTGTGCCGGATCGCCGCTTCTGTGCGCTGCTGCCACTGCTCGCGACTGGTTTGGTGGCGGTGGCGGACGCGGCGGGCGTGGTGGGGCGCGTGCTCGTACTCCGACGGCTGGACGACCGTTTGCTCGCCTTCTTCAAGTTGGCGTTGGACACCGTCGGCACAGCAGCAGACGCATCCTGGGCCTTGCCCGCTGACTCGGACGCTGCCTTGCTCGTGCTGTTGGTCTTGATTGCGGAAATGCCAGTGGCTGTGGAAGCTGACGCCGCTTCTTGTTGGCCGTTCGCTGTGGCCTCTGTGCCCTCTTCCTCAGCTTCATCCTCTGCTTCTTCGTCCTCCTCTTCCTCCTCGTCACCTTCCTCTTCCTCGTCCTCTTCTTCGTCTTCTTCATCTTCGTCTTCGTCTTCTTCCTCCCCCTCCTCTTCGTCTTCCTCGTCCTCTTCCTCCTCATCGCCTTCCTCTTCCTCGTCTCCTTCTTCGTCTTCTTCATCTTCATCCTCCTCTTCCTCATCGCCAGTCTGCATGGCCTCCTTGCCTGGACTGGTTGCAAACTCCTCTGTTGATTGCCACTGTGTGTCGTCACTGGGCGGGACCTGTGCTACGGCGCGAGGCGTGGCCTCTGACACCTGAGACGCGTCCGCCTCATCTTCCTCGTCATCCTCGTCCTCCTCCTCTTCATCGTCCTCCTCATCTTCGTCTTCGTCAGCCCCTTCCTCATCTTCATCGTCCTCCTCCTCATCATCCTCATCACCCTCTGCATCTTCGTCCTCCTCATCCTCCTCTTCTCCGTCATCGCCATCGCCCTCACTACCGTCGTCCTCGTTCATCCTTGCCTCGTCTGCCTCTGCAAATGCTTCCAGATCCACCTCCACCTCATCCTGCGGCTCGGACATCCTTGCTGGTTGCTTCGTCTTTGTGTGGCAGCGGTATTGCTGCTGTCTGCCGTGTGTGTGTATGTGTGTGTGTGTGTATGTGTGTGTGTGTGTGTTCGCGCGCGTGTACGATTGCCTTCCTCGGTCGCAAGCTTCGATGGAGGTGTGTGGTGGGGACGCACGACAGTGGGGGGATTGTGTGTCTTCGTGTGTGCGTTTGCTTTGCTTTGCTTTGTGTGCGCGCACTTCCACTGGTGTCCTATTTCTAGCCCAATATGGTTTATTGGCCTATGGCTCGTCGAAGAGGCCGCAGGCGGTGATCTTGAGCGGTTTGAGGGGCCGCTGGTTGAACGTCTCACACGCCTCCACAGCTGCCAGCACAGCGCTCCCACGGTACACTTGCCTGCAGTGCAGTTGGTGTGTGTGTGTGTGTGTGTGTGTGTGTGTGTGTGTGTGTGTGTGTGTGTGTGTGTGTGTGTGTGTGTGTGTGTGTGTGTGTGTGTGTGTGTGTG